GTGCGGAACTCAAAAACTCCATCCAAAACGGTAACCACGTAGATGTCACCAATAGTAAAAAATATCGACAGTTTGGCCTTGGCTGATTATCCTCGCTTTTTATTTTCGGACTATCGACATCGGTTTTAATACTGTAGAAAGAACAAATAGTTAACTTACTGTCTGTACATTAAAAATAAATTACAATTAATTAAGGTTTTTAGTCGAGATAAAAAAGTCAATGGCACGAGCGGGATTCGAACGCACGATCTTCGGCTAGATACGCCGCTGCTCTACCACTTGAGCTATCGTGACCTCGATCCGCTCGGACATTAACTTCCCATCTCAACCGCACCTTTTGAATTTTCCCTCCTTTTTGCCATTTTTCAAATGTCGTGTAATCTATTTGATTCTCGGCGACAAATAAAATGGCCACAGAGAGCTTTAGTGAAGTATACTTCATTTAATTCATTAAATTCACTAATTTCGTGGTCCGCTTGACCAATTGACATATTACAATTAATTAAGGTTTTTAGTCGAGATAGAAAAGATCTAGCCGAAGATCGTGGGTTCGAATCCCGCTCGTGCCATTGACTTTTTTATCTCGACTAAAAACCTTAATTAATTGTAATATATTAATTGGTCAAGCGGATCACGAAATTAGTGAATTAAAAATAAATAATTTGTTCATTGTAAATATTCCCATAGTTAAAACATATATTTTCTTATGATGAAATATTGTGTCGAGGTCCGCAAAGTTTCGAGGTATTTGCTAATCAATAAATTAGATCAATAAATTAAAAACACGTGATAACGAGCAAACTTAACATTTGAGATGAGAAAAAGTAGTTCGAAGACCCACCCATGTAGATTAGCCAGATTAATACGATTAGAAACGGAATCTACCTTCTCCATCCCGAAAACTTTATGAAAAGTTTTGTACAAAAAATGGCCCAATTAATGAAATTGATTTAATTTTGTTTCTGCTTAAATCTTATACTCTGCTTTCCTTATTTCCTTAGTTTATGGGAAAAATGACTTTTTAAATAAGCACAGGAAAAACTTATTGCTCAAAAAGAACTTTGTGAACTAAAAGGACCGCTTTTAAATGACTTGTTTAAGATCAACAAGATCATATATGATACTCAGAAGTTATTCTTATTCGCCGCGTAAAGAAAAACTTGAAAATTTTTCTATCTAAAAAGTTTGCCATGTTTCAGACTGATAAATTTAATTAGTAGGAAGTGATATAAATTTAGATTATATTACAGTAATTACTGCTTTTCAAATGATAAATTAAACGAATTATGGCCTTATTTTATTACAAAGTTGCACTGCTCATAAGCCATGTTGGTTTAAGACAGCCTTAGTTTATTGAATAATTTCAGTATGTGTATTTACTATCATATATAATAACCATAAATTTATTAATATTTTGCTGGTGATGAAAACTCAATAATTATCTAGGTCAAGAACATATTTAATACAAATTTGTTCAATGAGATTGGAATACATAAAAAATTAACTAATTGCAATTTTTCGATATTTAACAATTCTTGTTAAAATGCGCTTTTTAAAAAAAAATAGATTTTGTCCCAAATATTATTGTATGCAATTAACCTCTTGATATCTGTTTGAGACATATTTCTCTACTAATAAATTTGACATTGTGTTTTGCAATCTGACAAAAAATTTGTTTATGATATGATCATAGATTTTACGAAAATAATTTCGTATTTAGAAATGGCAGATGTTTCAAGGGGTTGTGATAAAACGGAACATACGATTTTATGAAGAAAGGTTATGAAGAATGGTAAAATTTATCAAATGATTTTATTTTATTTCCGTGTAGCTCATAAAAGTCTTGTTCTGAAGACAGGTTTGGTTTATAGATTTTTAAATTGTGATTATTTTTTATGTCAAATATATTCGGATTTATGATTTTTGGTTTGTCATAAATATTTATCAATTAAATATGTCTATTATTAAAATTACCAGCAGGTTTTCTGCAGAGTTTGAATTACATTAAAGGATAACAATAAAATTTAAAAATATCAAATTAAAACTATACGTTGTGGTCTGCATCAAGATATAACTTTTCTAAACGCTTTCGTTAACAATTGACCGGTACGAGGATTTCTATTATTTCTATTTTGAATATTAATTAAGAGAAATGGTGATAAATCTCCTGTTTTGCCCCTTTTTTCCGTACTTTCTCATTGTGAGGGAGGCCATTGATTAACTCCAGAGGGTGTGGCACAAAGGCCACTGTAGTCGAAGAGTACTAATTGAAAAGAGTTAAAAGGAGGCGGCGTCAGTTGACGAAGTGGGATAGGGCCAAGCTCAATGGAAGGAAAAGAGCTTTTCGAGGGTGAATGGAAAGCTCTGCGAGGGTAATGAATCAGATCACGTAGTAAACAAGTGTTCCAACCCTCCATCCTCGACGAGGCACTAGTGTTTCTCCCCCGGGAAAAATGAGAACAGGATAAAAAGAGGGAGCCTTTTCAGAGAAATTTACAGGACTCCCCTTTTGGAAAAAGGAGACGCAGTTCATAAAGAAGAAGTTTGAAAAGAACCCTAATAACGTGAATTATAGAGCCTGGAAAGACGGAGTTTTCAATTTCATAGATTATTCGCATAAAACGACCCTAAGGGGCAATGAAACATGCTTGCGCCTCGGGCTTATAACTCTTCTTAGGTAAGTTTCTGTATTATCTACCGCCCATTTATTCCTAATGATGATGTGATGTTCGCCGACTTGCAGGAATCTGTTCCATGAGAAATTTATTGTACGTGAAAAATAATCATGCTTCTCTGCCTCAATGTTGCAGAAACATAATTTATACAGCCAACATATTGACATGGTGGAGCTGTTACTAAGGTATAAAATATCTTAAATAATCGGGAGATGTAATCCAGTCAATTAATCCGAAAACTACCGAGAAATAGATTTTTGGAAAAATAGTTTCGGGATCTTTAAATTTCAGAACTTCTACTCAGAACTAAAAAATAAAAAACTTTAATCTACACAATTAATTAAGGTTTTTAGTGGAGATAAAAAAGTCAATGTCACGAGCGGGATTCGAACCCACGATTTTCGGCAGATACGCCGCTGCTCTACCACTTGAACTATCAGACCTCGATCCACTGAGTTCGAATCCCACTCGTGACATCGTTGTTTTAAACTACCTAGGAAAAATTTTTTGGAAAAATAGTTCCGCGATCTTTAAATTTCAGAACTTCTAGTCAGAACTAAAAAATAAAAAAACTTTAATCTAAACAATTAATTAAGGTTTTTAGTTGAGATAAAAAAGTCAGTGTCACGAGCGGGATTCGAACCCAAGATCTTCGGCTATATACGCCGCTACTCCATCACTTGAACTATTATGACCTCGATCCAGTCAGTTCGAATCCCGCTCGTGACATCGTTATTTTAAACTACCTAGGAAAAGATTTTTGGAAAAATAGTTCCGGGATCTTTAAATTTCAGAAATTCTATCAGAACTAAAAAATAAAAAACTTTAATCTAAACGATTAATTAAGGTTTTTAATTGAGATAAAAAAGTCACTGTGACGAGCGGGACTCGAACCCACTATCTTCGGCTAGATACGCCGCTACTCTACCACCTGAGCTATCGTGACCTCGATCCATTCGGACACTAACTTCCCACCTCAACCCCACCTTTTGAATTCGTCCTTTTTGCCATTTTTGCACTCACAAGTCAGTTTCTGATTTTCTACATATTTTGGCACTATCATTTCAGCACTTACAAATGTTATTGCGATTTTAAACACATACTGAGCAGAGTTATATTTTATCCTTGAGACTCCGCACTCATCTGCCGGTTCAATGACATTATTAGGACAGTACATTGACTAATGCTTCATTTAAACGGAAAAAAAATGTCAGACAATTCACAAGTCTAATTGACGGGTGAAAATTAACATTAGACAGTAAAAACAATTAACTCAATCCCCCTAAACTCTTGGTGATTTAGATGTATAAAATCAGCCAAATTTTATTCTTACCTTTACAAATCGACCTTTCACTTTAAAGCAATTTTACCAATGTTTCTAAACCAAGCCAAAACTATGTCATCTCGTTTGTTTCCAACCTCACAAAATAAACACATTAAAAACACATAAATCATCCTATCCACTCATTCGCCTCCCGTACCGGTAACCGAGATAAAAAAAAGTTGTATTCCTAGTTTAGAAACTTATTAAAGATAACCAAAAATGTTTCTAAATTTCTTCTTGTAGATTAATAAACGAATTCTTTAAAAAAATCATGTAACTATAAATAAATTATTTCTATCCGATGTTTTCTACATGGTATGCTGGTATATTATCTCGAAATAAATCGGATGTGAAATATGTATTCATGGTATGAAGTATGAAGTTGGGCCAATGAGGTTTAATTAATATGGCTATCATACAATTGAATTTTAAGCTGTTGAATTCAGGCTGTTGATATCTCACTAGTATTGTTTTCAGAACATTGAGATTTGTGTAAATTCCATTGTAGTCTATTATTTTTAGGTTGTTCTATCCAGTCTATTATGATTTGAACAGTATTTTTGAGAATTAGTTATGCTGGAAGCCTTATTGATAGTTGTAATAATCATAAAGTTTTATTATTGATATTATTATTTTGTTCTACACATGCATTTATGACCCCTCCTTAAATGATTATCAGATGCCACTGGACAACGCAAATTATTATTAAACCGTTTTTACGAGATTTTGGGAACCAATGCGTTACATTTTCATAAGAAAGGGAAAGATTTTTGAGAAAATATTTTGATGATAAATTTTCTCATAGTTCATGTTATGGATTTGAACTGAGCTTTTTATGGAGTTACCAACTTTTTAGTGGAAATCAAGATTACAAGGATAACTTTAATTTTGGCCACTTTTTTTAAGATTTGTTTTTGTAGCTAATATTGAGGTTTATCTATACCTTTTTGTTTGTTGCTTTGTAACCAAAAAATAAAAAGATTTTAGCAGATTGGACTTACCTTTACTCTGTCCTGTGACTTTGTCTCTGAGGACGTTTATCTGGTGAACTCGTCCGAACTCTGAAAACATTTTGGTCAACTCCGCTTCATCCATGCTACGCGGGACTTGGCCCACGAACATTTTGATGTAGTCGGGGTCTGGCTGGTCTTGATGACATCCGCTGTTATTCATTCCTCTGAAACAGACAAAGAGTCGGTTATATTTCCCAAAATATTGTAAGGGTTTAAGTTCAAAAGTGAAACCGTGCAAAGAACGCCGGCTACCAAGAAGGGAAATTAAATTCTAACTATACCCGGGATTACTTTCTGTATTGTTCATAAGCAAACAATGAGACGGTAAATTTCGTCTCTGTGGTTTGGGGCCGGGAACGATTAGAGTGGATTATATCTTGGTAGGAACCTGTCCAGAGTTTCAACGACCTCAAGATAGGATCACGCACCCTAATTGAGTTATTAATCCGCCCCAGGTCTGTACGGTATTAAAACAATTTAAAGTCCTCCCCGTTAGAGAATTACATTGCGATTTTAGAGAAATTAGGGTGCGGAGTCGTACCGGGCGGAAGAACCGCTTCCTTCAAGATAGCGAGCCACCCCTCCACCTTTATTATTCATTATTCATATCTCCCGGGTGGATCATGTTTGTATGCACAACACGCTATTTATTACCGGGAGCCATTAACCGTTCGTGGTATACCCGGTATATTAAAAATGTATTAGCGAAAAACAAGGCATCCATCCTACATAAAAATAAATTTCCTCTAGAGACAACAAATACGATTTTTTAAATGTTTTAGATGATAAAACATCTTTCATATTTAATTACCAGCAATGCTTGCCAAATTAAAAAGAGATTTTTAGATTTTTTCGTAAACGACTTAAAATTCTCGACGATTCGCCATGATCATTCCAAGGAGTTTTACAGACCGCCTTCAAAATTAGATTTTTCCTATAGAATCTCATCCAGCCTCTGAAAATGTCATACCGATCACATTTTTAACTTATCTAATTTCAGAGATTTGTTAATTGTTACCAAAGGAGGAATATATCGGGTTGTCCGGAAAATAATGCAGGATTTTAAGTTTTCATTAAAAAAAATCTATATAAAATATTCTGTTTACGTTTACAGGATTACTCATTNATTATTTTGATTAAAGAACATTGCTTTAAAGTAACTAGTTTCTTTTTTTTTGTTTAATACCAAAATCCTGCATTATTTTCCGGACAACCCAATATAACTTTTTATTTTATTTTATTTATTTATTTTTTTTTTTTAACGAGGGGTGCCAGTGTTTAAGAAAAGGAAGCCCATTTGTAAGTCTGTCGGGTTGGAATGCAGGGCCGCTGGGACGTCTAAACCGTTGTCACGGACGCCTCCAATTACGTAAATAATTTTATTAATATGTGGTGGTTAGTGACCGTTAGTTGATGATTTTTCGGAAATCGTGAGATGCAGTCTGGTGTGATGTAGGTTTCAGAAAAACATTTACTTGTTATCGTGCCAACGTTTCGATCTTTATTGAGATCATCTTCAGGGCCTGGGATTTACAAACATTGTTTAAATTTAAGAAATACACGTAGGATGTGGAAAAAATGAATTCCACATCCTACGTGTATATGTTAAATTTAAACAATGTTTGTAAATTCCAGGCCCTAAAAATGATCTCAATAAAGATCGAAACGTTGGCACGATAAAGAAAATGTTTTCTGAAACCTACATCACACCAGACCGGATTTCACGATTTCCGAATAATCGTTTTATTAATAGTTAAATAATATTTAACCTTATTTAAATTAAAGTGAAAGCAAATAAACTCATATTATTAGTACATTGGTTGTTGTTTGTCTATGTGATTCAAACAACGTGGCGGGGCCGTTGAATTTATCCCACTATCTTTCTTTTTTCCACCACCACACACGCACTTTCTCTTTATCACTCTCTTTGTTTCGAAATGTATTTTCGAAAATTACGACTTCAGCTCCAGCATCCAGACCAAACATATTTGAAAATGTTTGTAAACAGATATTGCATGATCTTGGCATATGAACTAAGCCAACTCGATATCAGTTATGAAAGATAACCGTTAAATTCACTAGTTTTCGTGGTCCTTTTGACCAATTAATATCTTTCAATTAATTAAGGGTGTTAAAAAGTCAGTGTCACGAGCGAGATTCGAACTGGATAAGTGAAATTAAGAAAAAATAGCTTTATCATGTTTAAATACATCTAAACATCGTAAAACAGCTGTAAGGTGTTTAATTATGGTATCATTGTTCGTTTATGGTTGTTCGTTGTGTGGCATCTCGTAAAACTGTGTTTTCACTTTCAGCCCAACAAACTTAATTATTCAAGAAAATAATGTATTGTCCAGTTAAGTAATATTTATGAGAGGTATTGGTTATGATAAAAAAGTCAGTGTCACGAGCGGGATTCGAACCCTCGACCCATGGCTGCTATTCTTTTTACTGCCAAATTGTAATAATAGTAATAAAAGTCTTTATTAACAAAAACATTACAAAATTATACAAAAATTTGTATAATTTCATCCAACTGGCAAGCTCATAGCCATTTAGGCCGTTAAAGGGGTTGTCCGGAATTAGCAACAGACTTGATGCAATTGAATAATTAAAAATTAATTGACGATTTAATTAATTCAGGTTTTTATTTGAGATAAAAAAGTCAGTGTCACGAGTGGATCGAGGTCTCGATTGATCAAGTGGTAGAGCAGCGGCGTATCAAGCCGAAGATCGTGGGTTCGAATCCCGCTCGTGAAACTGACTGTTTTATCTCAACTAAAGACCTTAATTAATTGAAAGATATTAATTGGTCAAGCGGACCACGAAAACTAGTGAATTTCATAAGATTTAACTTCATTTAGATCTTCAGATTTTAAGCACATAATATAATGAATAACTACATTTATATAATTAGAAACAGATAATTAATGCACATATTAACAAGTGAATACTCGCAAAATTACAACGGAATTATCATTATTATAACTGTTCGCCTCACATAGAAAATTATTACTTCAACACACTTTTTTTGTAATTAAAGTTTTATTTCATCCAGCTTTAAACTGGTAAAATATATTTATTTTGAATGGTTTAATCGATTTTTACAAAAATGTTTGCAAGGATAATATTTTCGACTTTTGCGTTCTATTTTTAGTAAAATGTCAAGACCTGTAGTCAATAAATTTATCGTTATCGCTGATTTATGGAGTATGCGATTGTTCGTTTTTACTTATACTTTTATAAATAAATTAATGTACACTTGTATTTGAATTTTGTTTTTAGCCTGAACAATACTGTATAAATGTGCTATCAATGTAAAAGTTAAATAAAAATTAACATTTGTAATATTTAACTATATAATTCACTAGTTTTCCTGGTCAGCTTGACCAATTAATATCTTTCAATTAATTAAGGTTTTTAGTTGAGATAAAAAAAGTCAGTGACACAAGCGGGATTCTAACCCTCCACCCTCGGCTAGATACGACGCTGTTCTACCACTTGAGTGACTCCGATCCACTCGGACACTAACTTCCCATCGCAACCTCACCTCTCGAATTTTCCCTCCTTTTTGCCATTTTTCAAATGTCGTGTAATCTATTTGATTCTCGGCGACAAATGAATTATCAACTAAAAAAACCTTAATTAATTGAAAGTTAACCATTAAACATTTTATTTTGTATAATTGAACGTAAAGAACAGGCGTCCGTCCACACATATTCTCACTACATTTAAAATAATTTTCTCACTTTTATAATGGTTTTTCTTATATAAATTGCCTCTCGGCTTCTTTAAAATTTAAATAGATTAAAACTTAAATCGGTTAAGCAATAAAGAATTCGCAGAGCGTTTTTATCACTATGAATTCCTTATTACTTAATCTATCATCTTTTTTAATGCAATTTTTTTATAATTATGTGAAATTTATAATTACTTGTCGTTATGAAATCTTATAAGCCCGCCATAAGGCTATTTTTGGTAAATTACATTAGGTATTATTACGTCAAAGTATATACGTCATAAACCTCACTTACATACTCGACTACACAAAGACATCAATAAAAGTGTATTACATTGATTTTTTTTTCTTTCAGCAATCTAGGTCGTAAAATGCTTACAAGGGGTCAATTTATAATTTTTATTTGACAAAGGAACGAAAATATAAAATAAAAAGTAATGGTTTCCTGAAAGAGGGTAGTCAAGGGTTTATGCTGTCTTCACGTGATATTGACCGCCACTTGTTGATGTTTACGACCGCTTTTTAACACAAAACATAACCGCGTCGATGTTATCCCCCCCCCCGGTGGTATGCATTTCCTACGTGATCTTAAAATACAGCTCAAATATGATGAAGGAATGCCCCAGAACGGCAATCCATCGTATTGAGGATGCACGAAGACGTCTTATTAGTTGTAGAATCCCCATCTTGCGCTCTTTCTATTAATTTCTTACCTTTCTCCCCCACCGCGGTCTTTGCCTAAGGACAAATCTTTTCGATCAAAGGGTGGCTAATTTCACCCCTAAGGGGACGCTAACTTCTAACCCCATAAAGAGTCTCGGCGAGGGGCAATAACGCGGGTAGAACCCTTATTATCGAATAAGAAAAATATGGCAATTGTAATAATTACACATTATACATCAATGAACCATATTAATTAATTTTTAACGAAAAAATCCTCTAAAAATTGACTTCCCAAATCCGAATACTTTCTTTTTTTCAGAGAATTCTGTTTTTTCCTTCCTTATCAAAAGATCCTATCAAAAGATCTATAGTTTTCTAGGAGATCACGGAAAAAAGGCTCAATGTTATTTGTTGGCTGCTCGGCTTGGTTTTCATAATTTTAAAACTACATTTTCTGTAATAAGTATATTGGGGTGTTCTTCACTCGTAAATGGTCTCTAACATCTCACCTCAAAAAGAAAATTTATAAGGTGAATTTTGAAATCAATCCGGTCCAACCTTCTCTTAAACTATTTTATTCCGACTGATATTGAGTTCAAGGGTTTTAAGGCTCGCTCGATGGTATACTATGTTACCCAGGTTTGGGAATATCAGCGGTTCGATCTAGTCGAAACTTTTCTGAGTAAATTATTTCACCTACCGAAGTTTACATCTAACTATATGCTTAAAGTTAGAGTTTCAACTGACCACTTATTTGTTTAC